AAGAAACGCCCAAACGAAGAAAGGAGGGACTAAAGGCCGTGCAGCCGTCAGGTCATAGTTTAAACGTCTGAGGACAGAAGCAGGGCGTGTTTTCATGTGGTGAAGAAAACACGGGAGCGTGCGTCATGACGAGTTACCTTTTTAAAAATATGTTTGTTTGTTTTTGCTCTGAGATGAAAACAGGAGCAGAAATGTTGGAGCTCGATGTTTGTCATGTTGTTTGCTGCCTCCCTCCTCCTCGCTCTCGCACAGATTCAGATCGTCACCTTGAAAAAGGTGTTTGCGGCGAGTTTTCGTCCTTCGCGGTGACGGACAGGCCGTGTAATCGTTCGGGGCTCGCCGTCGGCCTACGTCTCATTTTTTTGGGGTCACCTACATCCGTCAGTGTCTGTTTGTGAGGAGCTGCTGGTGCGGTCAGAGTGACGGTGACGCATACGTGTGGTGAAGTGCGACTCCACCCGGCACAGCGGCCACGCCCGCTCTGTTTGTACTTTACTCGGTCAGCAGCAGCTCTGAGTTCTCATGGCGACGAGCTCGTGTTAATCTGATTTAATCCCGCCTCTTATCGCCGCGATAAGCTCAGAGCTTGTAGAGCTGTGCGGTGAAAGGTGATACCTGCCTGATGAACGGATTCATCAGACGAGGCAGAAAACTGTGTCGTCTGTTTGAGAAGCTCTGATCCGGACTTCAGCTTTCACGTGTTCGGCTTTAAAAATGTGTTTTAAAGTTAGCTGGACTGCAGACCTCTGACATCAGAGATGGAGCTCTCTCATAGGCAGACGTCTAACAGAGCACATGTCAGAATAATGCAGGATGCTGAGATAATGAATCCGTACCTCTGACATGTCTCTGTGCAGTGCACACACAGTCTGCTGACAGTGGCTGACTTCAGCAGCAGGTTGGGAAACGTGTGGACTTCCTGGAAAAGGCAGAACAGACTTTGTAGAAAAGACTTCCAGCTGTTTGGAAGGGGATCATCTTTCAGGGGATTCTGGAAAAAGAATAAATCTGACCTCGTTCCTTTCCCAGCAGGTACCAGAAGTGTTAGTTAGAGTTGTTGGCTAACCTGGCACCAGCCAGCAGCACCTCGCTGTCTCTGTGACAGGAAGTTGCAAGACGGGTGGAAAATAAATCTGAAATAAGAAGCCCACGTTTCAGCTGCTGAAGAACGAGATGAGTGGTAGAATATCTAACCTGGTCCATTAGACTAGACTTAATCTGGACTGGTTTCTAACTCTGATGTCAGATGGATGACGGATGACAGATGCATGAAAATCTGCACGCTTCCATCCTGTTTAAATTTGGGTTTATTTGGCCTTAGACGTCCCAGCCAGGCAGACGCCGGAGCTCAGAGGAAGGTCAGCGGGCGTTACAGGCGGGTTTGATCTGGTTTAGCTGGAGGCCAGTTTCCCTCTCAGCCTGAGCCCGTCTCTGGGGACCGGCTCAGATTAAACACAGCAGTGTCACATGAGTCCACACGGGTCCTGGTTTGTGTCACAGAGCTTGTGTGGGTTCAGTGTGTGGACAGGCTGCAGTGGCGTCTTGGGGTTTCCTCCTCTTTAAACGCGCTGCTGCGGTTGGACAAGCGCACGTTTAAGAAGGCGGAGTTTCGTGTTTAGCTCGAGCGGCGAGGAGAGACGCTTGGAGCACA